AACTTGGCCGCCGCCTCGCTAACCACCACCGTCCTTTCAAATTCGATCAGGATATGGCCCGCTCTCGTCCTACGGACCCCCGTGGCTCCCTCTAATGTGTTCCTCACTGCCATTATCTTCTTGTATACTTGAAGCCATTCGCATCCTCCTTCCACTTTGACTAAAATGGCTTCCTTCCTCCTCCTATTTCTTGGTACGCCTCTCTCTTCTGCACCAGCCTGTCGGTTGTTTTCCGAACGCACCATCGGGGTAGCTTGCTCTAAGGGAGCTCTCCTCTCCCTCTTCCTTCTTTCTACCCTCATCCATCCTTCGGAATCCTCGCTGAAGTCCTGTTCACCCCTTGTCGTTCTGGTCTTCCACACGCTTCAGCGGATGTGACCTCTCCTCTTCGGGGCCTCTTAAGCTCCTCCACTCTCGTTATTTCAGCTGGCAATACCACTTTCCTCTTTGGGTATCCGTCTTTAGCCATTGTCGCTTCCTTCTTCGTTTCTGTCCTGTCTGCCTTTCTTCCTATATCGGCAGGCTCTCTCCTTCTCTTTCTCTTTCTATCCTTATGCTCTCCACATTGTTTCAAGGAAAACAGGATACCTTTTATCAAATTGCCTATCTCCCTAATCCCCTCATCCTTGTCTTTGTCCAACCTTAATTTTTTAACAACCACATTAGTAATTTGGACCGCTCCTGCCAGGGCTTTCGTGAACCCTTTCAGCTCAGCCCTGGAACTCATGACGTCCTCATCGTCGACGTCACTCGTCTGCGTATCGTCTCTTGCACTATCTTCGGCTTCGTTAGCCATAGTCGATCTCGCAGATTTCGCGCTTACGTTCCTCTCAACCACCCTCCTGGCCAGCATCTAGCGTAGGCCAGTCCTTTCCCTGTTACCGGCGTACTGTGGTCGCTCCCTCTAATTCCAAAGGAACCCTCCGATTCCTCGACCACTCCTACCTCCGTCCTTTCACTAATCGTAGGGCTCCTCTGAAGCCTCCTTCTCGGTTTAAAGGGGCAGAAATCCTCACTTTCTTCCCCCCCCCCCCGCTC